TTAGCTGTCACTCCATCTTTAGCGAGATGATCCGCCATGTAGTTGGATTCCCTCCAGTTATGCTTCCATGAGACGGCGATATCCCTGCAAACGTGATAAATTTTATCAAAGATCGAAGCCAGGTACAAGGGAAGGGGGCCGGAGCCTGCTGCCTAAGATATAACGTTTTTTGCATCTCCTTCCACTAAGAGTGGTTGGGGCCAGGAGGGGTTGAAAAGCTTGAGACCAGTTAGCACTGCCATGGACTTTACCATTTGGGAGTCTGAGTGGCCAATGTTTTTGGAGTAGCAGGCGAGAACAGTGCCAAGGTGGTCGCGAAAGACCCCACCTACTCCATCCGGACCTGGGTTGCCCAAGGAGCAACCTTCGAAATTAAGCTTGGTATGGCCCTCCGGGGGAGCAGACCAGTTGCTCGGTCTATGCACCCTAGGTGACTGGGTTTGTAAGATTTCCTTCCACTGGTATATGAAAGAGGAGGCTGAAAGTCCTTTGGAGGCCTTGTGATTGGAAGCCCAAAATGCTAGATCAAAGGTTATTTTGCGGAATAAACCGAGAACTTCACATTGTTTCCTCTAAAAATCCTTGAATTCCTCTCCATCCGAATTGCCCAAATGGTGGCTGCAATGGAGGTTTTCCAGAGTAGCCTCCCAGCTGGAGGCCACTGGGACTCCCTTGCAATATTAAAGACAGCTCGAATAGGAGGGGTTACCCACGAGAAGCCGAAGAGATGGAGCAGGATACTCCAGAGCTCAAAAGCAAACTTGCAGTGAATGAAGAGGTGGGAGTTTGATTCTTTGTCCTTTGTGCACATTACACAGTGGCTAGGGATAAAAACTCCCCGCCGTTGTAATTGGTCCACTGTTAGGGTCTTCTTGGAGCAAGCTATCCAATTGAATGCCTGCACTTTTGGAGGTGCAAAGGATGACAAGACTTGGGCCAGAAATGATCTCGGAGAAAGAGGGAAAGTGGGAGGTTGGAGGAGTTTCTTATAAAAGGAGGCTATTGAAAAAGATCGTGAGGGGGCAGGGGTCCAGAAAATGCGGTCAGGTCCTATATGAGCTAAGAATGATGAGCTCAAGATGGACTACAAAGAGAGGAATTCTTCAATTTCGGAGCCATTAAGTGGTCTTCTAAAGGCAGGGTTTCAGACTCTGATGTTTCCTGAGATGGGCATCTCCTTTGCAATAGAAGAGGAAGCGTTTGTAGCCAGGGAGAAGAGAGAAGGGAAGAGGTCCCTAAAAGGGGTATGTCCTAGCCAAAGGTTTGGCCAGGGTTGCTTTGATCAGGGTAGATCTCCCAATGAAGGAAAGGAGCCTTCCTTTCCACCCTGCAAGCTGTCTATCGACCTTGTCAATCACGTGAGACCACTGCCTCTTTTTGGGTTTGCCAAGATCCTGTGGCATGCCAAGTTAACTAGTGGGTAAGTCCTCGACTTTGCATTCCCATTTCGGGATGAGAGCTCTCGTATCTGACAAAGAGAGTTCCACCCCGATCATGGTGGATTTTCCCATGTTCACCTTGAAGCCCGTTGCAAAATTGAAGCATTTGAGAAACAAGAGCAAGGGTTGCTGCTTCCTGGGGCACTGCATTGAGGAACACAGGGGTGTCGTCAGCATACTGAAGGTAGGTAACGACAGGGTACCTTGCGCTACTCTTGAAGCTTGTTAGCCGGCCAGACTAGTACATGCGGGTGATAGATTGGCTGAAGACCTCAACAACTATAAAGAAGAGAAAGGGAGAAAGGGGGTCTCCTTGATGATGCCCTTTCGACGAGGGGAAGTAACCTTTCGGAATGTACCATTGATGAACACTGAGAAGAAGGGTCTGAAGTAGCAACCTTTCATTCACTTTCTCCAATGCTCACCCAAGCCCATCTGGGTCATAGTTTCTTCCAGGATGGCCCAATCGACATGATCGTAGGCCTTCTCCTAGTCACTCATGCGCTATCAAAACTCTGTCAAGAATTTGCCTTTCCTTAATGAAGGCGCTCTGGAAAGGTGAGATCACGAGAGGAAGGGCCTCTTTGAGTCTAAAAACGAGCACTTTGGAAAGGATTTTGTAAGAGGAGTTCACTAAACTGATCGGTCTGAAGTCCTTTAGTTCTTCAACACCTTCAATTTTGGGAATGAGGGCCATGAAAGTGGCATTCATAGCTTTGTGAATTATACCTCGGTGGAAGAATTCTTCAAAGAAAAGTAAGAAATCAATTCTAAAGGTTCCCCAAAATTCCTTAAACGGTGCCAGGGGGAATCCGTCAGGTCCTCGGGATTTATCTCTTCCAAGATCCGCTAAGGCTGTGATAATCTTGGGTTCAAAAAATGGCCGTTAACCTGATTTGCTGGAAGGGAAAGGAATCGGAGGTCGGACATCCTAGGTTTAGGTCCCTATGGGGCAGAGTACAACGCTTTGAAGAAGGATATAATGGCTTCTTCAATCTCGGCCGGCTGGTCTAGAACTCTCAGATCAATCTCGGCCTCTCTCTCTAGAAGTTGGAGCTTTGGATTTCTGTTCTCCGCAACTCTCAGAGGCATTCGATGATGTGGAAAAATTGATAAAGAATAGTAAAATCAGCCAACTTCAGGCAAAGCGCAAGCAACAAATAGAAGAAGCCTAGGGTTTCTTCTTCAAACCCAACGAGGGTTCCAAAAATCTTAGGCTTTCTCTTTTTCAATAATCAATTGATTGGAAAATTAAAGAGGATGCCTACAAGCTAGTCTTCAATGGCTTTCCATTGATTAAACCAGAAAGAAAGTTCTCTAACTCATGTCTCTCGCCATTCTAAATTTTATGGATAGACCATATTTATAATTAAAAGACCTTAACTAGAGCCCAATAAATCCTTATAATTAAAAGACCTTAACTAAAACAAAATATGCCACCAGCACTCTAATTACTTTTCTAAAGAACTCCTAAAATACCAAAAATATAAAAAAAACTAGAATCCTAAAAACACTTAAAAAATCAAAAAATAAACCTAAAATTAAAAGTAAAATATACATCCTTGGAGATTAAATAAAATTTTTATCCTACATCAGTCTCCCATGGTTGGAGAAGACTTGCCCTCGAGTTTTGAATTAGGTGAAGATAAATTCAGCATTAAACCCACTTTCTTCAACCCCCTTCTTTGTTGGCTCAAATAGTATTTGTGGTAGGAAGAAATCCTCAAGAAACAGATCCTGATATGTATATTGAGCAATCAATACAAATTTATGAAATTTGGCTATGTTAGAACTCGCATTGAAAATCCTATAGGAAACTGCAAACTCAATTTTCTGGCATTTAGATAATTGAGCTTGCGGATCTGCTGGCGAAGGACGGAGCCAAGGCCCATGAAGAAGGCTAGGCCCCTAACTTTTTTGCATTGGGCCGGTCACAAAGAATCCTGCTAGGAGAACACTTGTCTTCGAACGAGCAATTTATTTTTGTGCTTCTTTGTAAACTAACTGTATACTCTGTAAGGGGACTTAATCCTGCTAGGAGAACACTTGTCTTCGAACGGGCAATTTATTTTTTGTGCTTCTTTGTAAACTAACTGTATACTTTGTAAGGGGACTTACTTATAACTCCATTTTGTATAGGGTCTGTTCACCTATTCTTTTTTGTCGAGAGTCCCGGTTAGTAGGGCACTCTCGGACTAACCTAAACTTGTACCTTCTCTCCTACAGCAATACAAAAGTTAACATTTATAAAAAAAAAAAAAAAAAAAAACTTTCTTTTAAAGGGTTTCTCGTCATCTACTTCATTCCTCTATGAATCCAGGGCCACAACTTGTTGTTTATGAGTTGACCATGCTTCCACTGTACTACTCTGATTCCAATGCCCTAGATATCTTGAATGTTGCCCCTCTTTGATATCCTTGAGATGTTCAATATTTTATTTTGATTAGTCCTCCTATTCCTTGTCTCCATTGTCTTCATGAACAAGATCCTCTTCTGAAACATCTTATCTTCACCTAGAACCTTATCATGGATTGGATCCCCTAAGAGATCTTGTTGTTCATCTTAGCATGCATCAAAGATTGGTGTTGAATCCCAATTTACATCTTGTTGATTTTGGAAACAATTTGATGCAAATAAAGATTCTCCATGGTCGGCCTCCTCAATAGCATGAACCAAATTGTATCCACTCATAGCGAGATTACCTCTCGTTTGGTTGTGTCAAATTATGCTCGTGAAAATCAAGAAAGTCCACCTTCAAATTGACATCCCTACAGTGATGCACTCAATGTCTACGTTTTCTGTCACTCTCATCTTCACTTGACTTTTCACGTGGAGCACGACGGTGAAAAGGGCCGTACTTGACATCTTTTTCGGAGGAAAGACCACTGTCTTGTCCATGAATGATGTCTGCGAGCTGCTTGTAAGCTGCCAAACCTGCCTCTTGAGGTCTTCAAACGCCTCATCTATGAGATCATGGGGTAGGTCTATGAGTGCCCTTCTTCCTTGGGCTCTTCCTATTGCCATGGGTTCCCAAAATCACAAACCCTAGGTACAAAATCATCAATATGAAATCAACAAGATCTAGGATGAATTGAGAAAATCTTGGGCTTAAATTAACAAACATTTGGCTGAAATTCACACGTCATGGCCCAAATTCAGCAACCATAGACTTGGTTGTAAAATTCTTGCCCTACTATTGAGGAAACCTAGGCTCTAATACCATTGATATGGGAAAATTGATAGAGAATAGCGAAGTAAATAAACTTCATGCCAAAAACAAGCAACAAATAGAAGCAGCCAAGGGTTTCTTCTTCAACCCAACTAGGGCTCCTGGAAGCCTAAGCTTTCTCTTTCTTCAATAATCTATTCATTAGGAAATTAATGAGGAAGCCTGTAAGCTAGGCTTCAATGGCTCTGCATTGGTTAAACCCAGAAAACAGATCTCCAACTCAATTCTAGCTCTATTCTAAATTCTCTACATAGACCTATATTTATAATAAAAGATCACCTAGAGCCCAAGAAACCCTAATTCTAATCGAAATAAAAGTTTAATCAAAACAAAATTCATACAACATTTTATCTCTAATAAAACAAAATTTTCCATAAGCACTCTATCTAATTTTGTAAACAACTCCTAAAATGCTAAAATTATCAAAACAACCCTAGAATCCCAAAATTTTTTTAAAAACCCTAAAAAAAAACCCTAAAGTTTAAAATATACATCCTTATGAATTAAACAAGAATTCAAAATAAGAGTAATTTCGTCTTGCATCATGCGGTTATCAGAATTAACGGGTCTCTATAATGGTCGCTGATTGGCAAAAGAAGCATAGAAAAGACATGAGCACACTTCTACTTACTCCCTTTTTCTTCATATTACTCTCTCTTTTCTTTCATTTATTAAAGTTTCCCTTTCTCTGTCTTTCTATCTCTTCCCTGTCGCTAATAAAAGTTCCCTTTGCCTTCTCAAAACCCCTCTCTAACCAAACTGTCTTTAATCAGCGAAGATGAGAAGCTAGTTATTGGGTTATGACCAGATTTTCTGTCAGGTTCATTGAGCATGGTATCACCTCTCTTCTTCTCCAATGTTATGGCTGCGTCAATAGGAGTCCCCATAAAATCTTGAGCTCATCATAAGCGTTCCAATCATTTTCTTGCCACTTGTTTTTCTCCTCTGGTTGATCACCACCATTTTGTTAATCTAAAAGACTAGAGGATTAAAACCCATCTTCTCAGTATTAATCTTCGTTGCAACAACTGCCGTAAAGGATGAGGGAGAAGGTGGAGGAGAAGATGGTTCCTCATTGATAGAACTCTATTAGATATTCTAGAGAGAGAAAAAGAGATATTGTTCGTTCTCTTCGAATTTTTTTCGGAAGACTTGGCCATTTGAGTTTGTGATGAACCATGACGAAGAGAAAAATTGGTTCAATTTCAGCAATTCAGAATGCTAGTTCGAAGGTGTGAGAAATATAAGGCATGAAAGAAGAGTGAGAAAGTGGAGCGAGGAAATTATGAGTGGATCCATGGAGTTGAGTAAGGGCATGGACTTGGAGAGAGAAGACATGGAAACTCTAGCAATTCTGAAAGAGAGTAACAGCTGGATGAGAGAGAATGGGGATAATAGATTGAGAGTGGGGCCCTTTTGCCATGCATTTTGCATAGATATACTTTTCTGTAATATGTCTACATGAGTTCATGTTTATGTAGAATGTTAAAGTTCAATTCTGATGACAAAAAAAAAAAAGGGTGGGGGGGGCAAAAAACTCTCGACCTTTCCTTTTGTTTTCGAAAGCAGTTTTTCTATGAAAGGAAGTAAGAAGAGGGTGTTTGTGTGTTTATTTTTGTTTATAGTTTGTATCGGAGTCCCTCGGAAAGTATGAACAAAAGAGAGCAATAGAGGGAAAGGACTTCATTAGCAAGATTAGAAATAATTTTGCTAAATGCAAAGAGCCTCAATGGCCTCTGTTCAAATTATTTATTATTCTCTTAGTGGATTTTTACCATTTTTGACCACATGTTTCTTAAACTGTTAGTTCCCGTATCGAAAGAAAAGATTGTTCCTTATTCTTTTGCAATTGGTTATGCTTTATTTGATGTTATTTTCTTGATCCTTCTATCCTAATATTGATGTGATCTGGGAATTGCTTTGGTGTTTGAGTAACCGATGTAGTTGGATCAAGTAAGGCATGCTTAGGAGAGTGATCAACAATCTGGAATAATGCAGATGATGTGTAAGCATTGTGAGTCTGGGGGCACTACTTGCCTCCTTTTGCTCTATTTAAAAATCATAGGACAACTTGTTTTCTTGTTAAGTATTGGAAATAAGGTTCTCAACAAATATTTATAATCCTAGTTTGCAAGAGCCTATCATTTGAGAAGCATACCAAGAGCAAGTGGCGTAAACGAGTGAGGCAAGAATTGCTGAACTGGTTTTGAGAAATAAAACGAGAAATTAATATTTCTTTAATGTATCATCAGGTTTTCCTGGATTTCTTGTGGTATTTTCTTGGAAACTAGCATATTTGATTTGCAACTTTGTATCGAGTGGGCATAATATGTTTGGCAAATCTTGTGTGACTTGAAACTGTTGGGGCATAAGGCCTTTAAAGGCCTTGAGAGCCTGTAAAAATTATGACTATAGTGATATTGTACTCCTGTGGGAGGGTGGTCCATGTGGGCCTGAGGCATGTTACATGGTGCTCGTTAGCTTCCCAGGTTGAGCGATCTAGGTCTGAGAGTGGAGTTCAGAACCATTTTGCCGTGGTCATAAGGCACAACCGTGGAGGGTTAGCCTTTGTTGAGGTCAAGATTCCTAGAAAGGTTAACTAGGAGGTTACCTGTCTCTTGTGTACAGTTGGTACCTTGTCAGAGCAAGGGCCAAATCTTTGACATTACCACCGCCCATGTACATATAATAGCTGTATCTATGGGAAGCGACCCATTGGGTAATATATATACATGTGCTAAAGAGAGGTTCCTTGGCCATAGCAATAGTGTGTACACGTCTATGTGAGACGTGACTTTTCCATAGGGGGAAACTTGTAATCCACGCACTAGACCCATGTTCCCTTTATTTATTTGCCAACTTTGATAGGCTAGCATCAGCTCTTGTGATCGATTGTAGTTCATGGGTTCCATTAGGTTGTTTTGAGAAGTAAGACGATGGACTACGAGAACTAGCATAAGTGGGGTATCTTAGTATTTTTACATATTCCTGACCTGATGGATCCGATTATCTTTCCATCATGTTTGCCTATGTTTTAGAAAATTTATTAATCACAAAAATAAATTTTTTAAAATGCATTATATATTTTATTTTTGCATCATAATTTTTTAATTTACATGACGTTTTAAAAATACTTAAGAATGGTTCAGAAATTTGTTTTGGGCATTTAAAATTGTCTATGACCCATGTGGAGCCTTGTGGCCAAGGGCCCACATGTGGGAAGGCCCATTAGGCATGGGGCGTGGGGCTCACTATGGCTCCCAGGCCACAAACCCCTTTCTTTCCTTTTGTTTCCGCTTTTGTTGACCAAGGAATTGGTAATTATCTTGAAAGATGTTTGGAAAAGTTAGGAAAGGTTGGATAAGTATTAAGAAGGTTTGAAAAGCTTCTAGATGATTTGTGATAATTGTGATAAGATATGCAAGATCTTTGGACAAATATCTTATCTTTTTGTGTTAAAAGAGAATGGGTCAAGGCTTATGTTAAAAAATTTGGCCGTCCACCTGCTTAGGCGGGTGGGTGGGAGGCCTTACCACCCGGCGCTTGGACAATTCAGCCTAGTACAGGATAGTGGCCCTAGGCGGCCGACTTGTTGCCCAAGGCCCCGCCTGCGCTTGGGGGAAAGGATATTTTTTCCCTTTTGGTGAGGCCCATTTTCTGGTCTCGCCAAAAGGGTCCAAGGCCGACACCCATCTTAAGGAGATTCAGTAGGGAGTGAGAACGATGTGCTATCGAGCTAGGTGATTCGGAGTGGGGTATACCAAAGTCCTTTGGAAGTGATTCGAGGCAGCTTGTTTGGGTGAAAAGGCTTCCCTATTCCTAATTCACTTTGTTATTATAGTTTTCTATTTTTTCATGAATAAAAGAGTTATATTGAATGCCAGCAAGTGAGGATCTTTAGATTGTAATTATTATTTTTAATTGTAAGTGGTTTTTGGAAGTAGACTTGCCGGTATGGATGCGGAAATTTTTTAAATACATATACCGTGCTCGATCTGCATCTCAGCCTTTCAAAAACTTGAAAGAGAATGTAGCATCAATTGCCATTGGACTTGTAGTATGCGATTTATTATCTTATATATGTAAATTTAGATTTCTCAAATAACAAATACCTTAATGAACAAAAGACTCAAGGCCAGGGGGGGGGGGGGGGTAAAGAAATAATTATAATAAAGGCTACCAACTTCATTCCCAAGTCATAGCTTTGGTCAACAAATCAATTTGCTGGCCGATCCATTATGGAAATATGGGGTGGCTGATCTATTGTTGAGCCATAAGGTAATGAGGTCAGGGCATCAAGAAATTTCTACTAGATGAAATTGCTACCCAATCTCAAGGTGCTTTATCTAGTCGAGGAAACATGATCGAAAGGATTTTGAAGCCAGTTTGACATTTTTCCAGTAGAAAGGTGTTGGTGTGCAAAGATAAGCAACAAAATCCAAATGGAAGATACTAGAACTACTCCCCATTCCAGCAACATAGTAAGTACCCAACTTGTGAACGTTCTATGTTTCTCAAGCTGCAAAATGTCATGAATTTAAGAGTATTCATATATTGCTGAAAAAAAAGGTTATAAGCTGAAGGGATCTAAAGAAGAAAAGGAAGAGATATGGAGATCTTAGAGTGAGAACAAATGTAATGAATGGCGTGATTGACATCTGACAAGAATGGCATCTTTGGAGAGACTATGAACTAACAAAATGAGTTGTATACATGTTATGTGACAAAGTTGTCAATTAAATAAGGTTCCTATCAAGTTTTGAGAAAAGGGTGGCATTGAAGATGGAAAAGACAATCTGAATAGGTAATTATTCTATGGAATTGTTGAAGCATGATGTGACCAAGCAGCCTTGGGCCTAAAGATGGCGAAGATGATCCGCATCAATTATATGAAATTGTGAACACAATTAGTGCTTGGTCACGATCGTTGTTAACCATAGCTACTGGGATCCACCTACCAAGTGTTCGATGCAGCTCTCTAATCTTGATCATGGCCTCCGGGAAGGGGATCTTGCTCCTTCTTGATTCTTTAATTTTGGAATCTTGATCCTTCCTATTAGGCATCGAAGTTTTGAATTACACGGGATCCACATTCTTAACCGTAGTTACCTGAAGCGAATTCAGAAATCCAATCGATTTATGAATCTGAAGCGCGAAATTGCCGCTCACTAGAAGATTCTTGTTTTTTGAATCGACATCCGTACAAGAGGAATCATGGGGGACGAGATTCCTATTTTTAGGAATTTAGATTCGAGTAAATAGAACAGAGATCGCTACATAGATGGAATCGAGATTCCTAGCTCTTTTGAATGGAGTTTATGACCTAGTTAGAGTCGACTGATATGGAGTTGAGATTCCTTCATTTATGGAATCGAGATTCTGACATCATTGGAATCGGGAGATAACTGAGAGGGATACAAGACATGTCTTAATGTCATTCATTGATTGACATGCCATACATGCATGTTTACATTATTTATATAACATTATTTCTAACCTCTTGGAGTTTCAATCTCTCAATTGGATCAATAGAATGCATACTTAAAGAATTAAGTAGAGAACGTGGATCACCACTTTGGTTTCTATTGGTCATTTCATGGGAAAAAAGATGACTACACAATTCTATAGATGTTGGAATCGAGATTCCTGAAATAAGAAATCGAGATTCTAGACTTCACAGAAACTAGTTCCACGAAGATTTCTAGTTGGAATCGCCAAATCGGGGTTTTGAATCAAAATCGTGACATTTGGTTAGAGATTCGGGTAACTATGTTCTTAACATTGTAGTATAGTATTACTGTATGATAAGATTGATAGATATAATGTAGTAGAACATTATAGGATAGATTAGCAGTATGGTATAGCATAGTTATATTCGATACAGTATAGTATAATCTAGCATTTTGGTATAGTATAGTTATATTCTATACAGTATAGTATAATCTAGCAATTTGGTGTAGTATAGTTTATGTATTATTTTTTGATATATTCGATTGATAATCCATGATAATGGAGAGACTGACAAAGATGTCGCACATAAAAATAGAGCTGGTTGGACGAAGCAGAGATGTACTTTTGGAGTCATATGTGATTGTCGCATACTAAGGAAACTAAAGGGCAAGTTCTATGGAACCGCTGATAACATGCTTTATGGGACAGAATGTTGGGTGGTCAAGAAACAACATATCCATCTAATTAGTATAGTAGAGATGAGGATGTTGAGATGACTGAGTGGCAAGACAAAAAAATATTGGAATTCAAAGTGAATACATTCGTCGAAATTTACGGGTGGCTCTAATAGGTGATAAGATATAAGATGAGGGAAAATAGACTTAGGTGTTCTGGCCATGTGCAACGTCAACCTTGAACACCGGTTGGGAGGGGTGGTGTAGTTCAAGTGGAAGGCTCTAAAAGGGCAAGGGAAAGACCAAAAAAGGCATGGAAAAAAATAGGGAAAAAATATATGGTGACTTATAGTCAGGTTGAGGGGTATGACCCTCAATAGAGCAGAATGACAGAACAGGTTCGTGTAGTATATAGCATAATATTGTAGTATAGTATTGTATAACAATGTGGTATTTTATAATAGTATATGCTATACAACTACACTAGTTGGTCCTCTCTGGTTCCTTGATTTTTAACTAGATGTAGCTCAGTCTTGTATAATTTATCACTCGATTACAATTACATATGGGTCGAGCTCCCCCACATATTGGGATAGAGATCCCTAAATTTCAAGGTGTACAAACTGTGATCCCAACCATAGGAGCATTCTGCATGTCACAATCTCGTTGTCTCGATCCCAATCCCAACTCTAATTCAATCTCGATTACGATATCTTTGTTGTTAATATTCATCAATATAAGTATTTACTACTACTTCCCTAGTTAGAGAAGTCCACGAAGATTTGGAGTAAACACTCTGAGAGAACCCAACCACCATAAATTGCTGCCAAATATGTCCAACCCAATTTTTGATTATTGGTTTGAGTCCATCTAGTGCCTTGCCATTTTGACTAACCTGTAACATATCCAATAACAAACTAGGGGTTGATCGCATGTTGACATTAACTCAGAACAAAACTGAAAAGAATGTCATCTATGCATAGCTTCATGAATGGAATTGGGGTCGACTCCTATGTTCTTGTAATTGGGAGGAGAAAAGTTGCCTCATAATCATTTCATACTATAGTAATGTAGCCTATTGTGCGGAGTTGGAATTTAAACGATCCATGTTTCCATCCATTTGGTCTTTGCTTTTTACACCCATCAACAAGCAATAGCTTCCGTCCCAAATGATAATGAATCTGAGATTGAGGTTTTGGGTTTTGTGAGGAGCGTCTAGGGCTGGCAAATGGCGGGGCCCTAGCCGGGCCATCTCTAGCCCTAGCCCAGCCCTAATACACATAGGGCAGGCCCCGACCCCAGCTTACCTGGCCTTGACAGGACAAAGGTGGCCCTGGCCTATGCGGGCTGGGCCGGGCCAATTTAAAAACACATAAAAAGTAAAGAGAAAAAAAAAAGAAAAGAAAAGAAAAAGTGCTGGGCCAGGCCACGCAGCCCATTGCCACCTCTTAGGGCATCATGCTTTTCCTTGCTTCCTTGTGGCCAATAATTTTGGAAGGAGTCTTCATACTGTAAAGATGGCTCAATACAAGAATCTGAGCCAGTAAAAGAAGATCTATGAAATGAGATAATGAACCAAAACCAAGAAGGCCCAAGGTCGTTCAAAAACTGGTTTCGAAAGAAGGCCTCAAGTAACACTTATGCATGCCAACCTTTAAAAGCGAAAATGGAATGCTCCATTGAGGAAACGAAATAACTTCCTATGAGTGGGCAGTGAAATATTTGCGCTGGTGTGAAGCTGGGGTTGCTAAAAATCTGTATATTTTGGGTAATGCAAAAAACAAAATGTGGTAGGAGATGCATTTTATATGTCAATTGGAGTTGAAGGTAGAAAGAAAGAACTAAGTCATCCAAATGCCTGAAGGAAAGAATTATGTAGCGGCTTCACAACTAGTATTTGAAAGAGTTGTCAAATGTGCATTCCCTACTAGTTTTGAGAGTTGTGTTCATTCATGTGTTTTACTCCTTGATTTATAGTAGTTATATATATATATATATGGAAAACACTATGCAACGCCTATAGGCGAACATGAATAGTGATTTCGCTTACCCCCATCACCGTCCAAAGTTCATCTCGCAGTCACGATTGTCAGGTAGTCTTTCATTTTTCATTTTTTTTTCTACAAATTGGAATGACTTGAAATTTGGAGCGTGTATTCATCAAAAATA